CAGTTAATACACATATTGTTTTGTGACATTGGTTGCCAACCCCACAACATGTCAACACCCTCCCCTTCTTGACCTTGGGTTCCCTGTTACCAGCTTTCCTGCCCACTCCTGCCTTCTCGTCCTTGCCCCTGGGCTGGTGTGCCCATTTAGTCTCATTTCGTTTTATGGGCCCATCTAATCTTTGGCTGAAGAGTGAACCTCGGAAGTATTGAGTTAAAAGCGTGTCTGGGGTCCATACTCTTGGGATTTCTCCAATCTCTGTCAGACCTGTAAGTCTGGTCGTTTTTTGTTAGAATTTTGTTGTACGTTTTTCTGCAGCTCTGTGCGGAACCCTCTATTATGATCCCTGGCAGAGCAGTCAGTGGTGAGCTGGGCACCATCTAGTTGTGGTAGCTGTGGTCCGTTAGTCCTTTGGACTAATCTTTCCCTTGTGCCTTTGGTTTTCTTCATTCTCCCTTGCTCCAGACAGGGTGGGATCAGTAGAGTGAGTATCTTAGATGGCCACTTACAAGCTTTTAAGACCCCAGACGCTACTCACCAAAGTAGGATGTAGAACATTTTCTTTATAAAATATTTTATGCCAGTTGAGCTAGAAGTCACCTGAGACCAGCCCAGTAACGCTGTTTGATTTCTTGACTGCTGCTTTCATGGATATTGTTGATCCAAGTAGAATGTAATCCTTGACGATTTAAATGTTTTAGCCATTTATCACGATGTTGTTTATTAGTGCAGTTTTGAAGATTTTCGTGTCTGTGTTTTTTTTCACATTTTGATGTAATCCATACTAAAAACTATAGTCTTTGTCCTTCATCAGTAAGGGCTTCATGTCTTCATTTTCAGCAAGCAAGGTTGCATTACCTGCATATCACAGATTGTGTCACCTGCATATAGCAGGTTGTTAGAAATATGAAATGTTTTTTTCCCAATCCTGGTGCTGTGTGCTTCTTCATATAGTCCAGCTTCACAGGTTATTTGTTCAGCATACAGATTGAATAAGTAGGGTGAAAGATAAAACACTGCCACACACCTTTTCCAATTTTAAACTATGCAGTATCCATTTGATCTATTCGAACAACTGTCTCTTGATCCATGTACAGGTTCCACATAATCACAGTTAAGTGAAGAGAATCTAAACACCTGTTTATTTGCTGAAGATAAATATGTGTTTAGATTCACTCATTTATGAGTGTTGTTGGTTGCCATCAAGTTGGCTCCAGCTCATGCAACCTTATGTATAATTATGAACAGCCACTGCCTATTTTTATTTTTTTCTATAAAAGTAGAAAATACACATGAAGCAATGGTATGTTAGAAAGTGTTATGGTATATTTTGCAAAGTGTTTTCTAAAAAAGTTGTGCAACTTGCAAAGTCTTAACACTTAGATACTATAAGAATTTGTTTTATTAACTTAAATATATGTTTAACAACTAATTCAGTAAATATTAATAGAATAGCAATTATGTGAGAAGAATGATTCCATGGAGATATTAAGACTGATAAGGCATCGTTCTTGCGTTTAAGGAGCCCATACTTTTTTTTTGGCCAATGAATCAGAACAGGATTTATTTGTTTTTGTTTTTGTTGAGAGTGTACACAGCAGAAGATACACCAGTTCAGCAATTTCTACATGTACAATTCAGTAACACTGTTTACATTCTTCAAGTTTTACAATAATTCTCACTCTCCTTTTCCAAATAGTTCTTCCTCCATTAACATAAACTCACTGCCTCCTAATTTTTTGAGTTGCTGTTGTCAGTTTGATCCCATATAGATAGTTCTTAAAAGAGCACAATGTACAAGGCAGATACTATTTACTAGTTAAGCTAAACTATTGTTAGGTTTTAAGAAGACTTCAGGGATATTTTTGGTTAAGGTTTAAAGATTATCTCAGGGCAATAGTTTCTAGGATTTATCCAGCCTCCATGGTTCCATAAAGTCTAGATTCCATGAAAATTTAAAATTCTGTTCTGCATTTTTCTCGCTTTTGATCAGGATTTTTCTATATAATCTTTTTTTAATGTGCATTAGATGAAGGTTTACAGAGCAAATTAGTTTCTCAGTAAACAATTAATACACATATTGTTTTGTGACGTTCATTGCCAACCCCATAACATTTCAACGCTCTCCCCTTCTCAACCTTGGGTTCCCTGTTACCAGCTTTCCTGCCCCCTCCTGCCTTCTTGTCCTTGGCCCTGAGCTGGTGTGCCTAATTAGTCTCATTTTGTTTTACGGGCCTGTCTAACCTTTGGCTGAAGGGTAGACCTCAGGAGTGACTTCAGTACTGAGTTAAAAGTGTGTCTAGGGGCCGTACTCTCAGGATTTCTCTAATCTCTTTCAGACCAGTAAGTCTGGTCTTCTTTTGTGAGTTAGAATTTTCTTGTACGTTTTTCTGCATCTCTGTCTGGGGCCCTCTATTGTGATCCCTGTCAGAGCAGTCAGTGGTCGTAGCCGGGCACCATCTAGTTGTGCTGGACTCAGTCTGATGGAGGCTGTGGTGGTTGTGGTTCATTAGTCCTTTGGACTAATCTTTCTCACTTGTGTTTTTGGTTTTCTTCATTCTCCCTTACTCCAGACGGGGTGGGATCAGTGGAGTATCTTAGATGGGTTCTATAGAATCTTTGATTAAAATGTTCGTTAATGGTAGCCAGATACCATTCCGTTCTTATAATCTCATGACAGAGAAGGCAGTTGTTCATGGAGGCAGTTAGCTACACATTCCATTAAGGAACTTAGACTTGATTGTTTGAAGATTTATTAAAATAAATATAACTATTATAGTAAATATGTTCTTTTCCCCCAATCCTTCCAATTCCACCTGGACAAAGAGATGATAAAAGATGTTTCTGATCCTGCCTTTTGCCTCCACTGCAGAATAAATGTGGCACCAAACTAAAAAACTAAACCTGTTGCCGTCAAGTCAATTCCAGCTCATAACGACCCTATAGAACAGAGTAGAACTGCCTCATAGGGTTTCCAGGGAGCGGATGGTGGATTGGAACTGCCGACCTTTTGGTTAGCAGCCGAGTTCTTAACCACTGTGCCACCAGAGCTCCAAAGTATGGCACAGGAGTTTCTTTTTTCTTTTTTTTCAAATGAGGTCAAATTCAAGTAGCATAAAATTAACCATTTTAACCAATTCACTAGCATTTAGTACATTCACAATGTTGTGTAATCATCACCTCAATCTAGTTCCAAAACGTTTTAATTACCCTAAAAGGAAACCCTATACTCATTAAGTAGTCACTCCCCACTTTCTCTCAGCCCCTGGCAACCACTGATCTGCTTCTGTCTCTATGGATTTGCCTATTCTGGATATTTCATATAAATGGAATCACAATATATGACCTTTTGTTTCTGGCTTCTTTCAGACTTAGATGTTTTCAAGGTTCATCCATGCTATATCATGTATCAGTACTTCAGTCCTTTTTATAACCAAATAATACTCCATTTTATGGATATACCACATTTTGTGTACCCATTAAGTAAGTTAGTGGATATTGTGGTGCTATGGATCCTTTTTATCTAGCCTTTCTCACTATGGTCTTGTAAGTCCCACCAAATTATTGGGTGGGGCTATACAAATAAGGTGCTTGTGGCCCACCAAGGGCATTGGGCAGCTTGCTAATAATGCAAATAAGGTGTATGAAACCCTATCGAGGGAATTGGTCAGTTTTGCCATCTTGCTGGGCTTAAAATGAGCTATCCCAAAGGTAGAAAAGGGAGAACCTCACTACGGTCAAGTAGAAGAGACAGGAGTAGAGCATGTCCTTTGTAACCCTGGTCCCTGCCCTGGAACCTCCTAGACCAAGGACACAGAGAGAGCTGTAACACCAGAGACGGTGCGAGACATCAAGAAGTAGCAGCAGAGAAATGTTGGCGGCAGAACCAGGAGACTGGTGCAAGATGGCACAGGGGCTTCCCAGTCCACAGAGCAAGGTGGTTACAGTGGACATGCTGACCCAAGGAGTGAAACAACTGAGTACCTTTGGGCAGGAGGCTTACTGGTGGAGTGGGCTACCCCCAGGCACTTAGTGGCAGAGCTAAAGAGCTTTGTAGCACTTGCCCAAGCAGGGCAGAGGCTTGGCCAAGTGGCTGAGAGGCCAAGGGCCAGAGAGAGGCCTGCCTGTGGGCACGGCTGAGAAGAGGCTGTCCTGATCGAAGAACTGTATCCTGAGTCATTCTTGATCCTGAATTGTAACATGTTACTTCCCTAATAAACCCCATAACTGTATGGTCTGTAAGTTCTGTGTGGCCACTGCAACGAACTATCAAACCCAACAGAGAAGTAGAGAGTGCCTTTGGAGAGATGGCTGGTGTCAGAATTGGTAAAAAGTTTGGAGAGAGGAGTCTGACCTCATAGGAATCAGCCTTGGGCTGTTGATCTTGATTCACCTTCCCCCTCGTGAAATTAGAGGAAGTCAAACATCTGCCACAGCATTTTTACAGATATTTGGGTGGTTTCCACCTTTTGGCTGTTGTGAACAGTGCTGGTGTGAACATTTGTGTACAAGTGTTTTGAGTCCCTGCTGTCAGTTCTTTTGGGTACATACCAAGACATATGGTAATTCTGTTTAACTTTTTGAGAAACCATCAAACTATTTTTCACTAGGGCTGCATGGTTTTTCATTCCTTCCAGCAGTGTAAAAGAGTTCCCGTTTTTCCATATCCTCATTAACACTTGTTACTTTCTGTTTTTTGTTTTTAATTATAGCTATCCTCGTGGATGTGAAGCACAGGAGTTTCTTATAACTATGACTTCTCATTTTATCACACAGTCATTGGGAGAAGTATCCACAGAGTTAAACAAATAATACACAGAGTCTTAAGTTAGGTACTAAGAACTGCTAGCATATTAGTCCTTACTGCGTTATTTAATGTTTGTTTAAGTATTTGATAATGCATTGGTAGAAACCAGTTTAGATGATGACCAAGTTCTATTTCTAGAATACTAGTCACACTCATGCATATATGTATATTTCTTTGTTATTCTTTCTTTTAGTTACCTGAGAAGAAAAGGAATAATAATAAATGAAACATCTGCAGTTATATATGCTCAGTTACTCACAGGTCGTAAATATCAAATAAATCAAAATGGTGAAGTTCGACTAGAGAAACAGTGGTCAAAACAAGTTCTTCCTTTTGTTTATCAAACTGTTGTTAAAGTAAGTCTCCATCAGGTCTCAATTCCATCTGGATGTACACTGTTGGACATTGTATAAAGAAAAGACATTAATATTTATTTGTATGTAGAAGACGAATTCAGCAAAGTATGATAGAGATTATTACTTAACATAATATGCAATTTACTGTAAGACTTTGTAAGCAGTATTACATGCTCAGACACTCACTGTGTGTAGGGCTAGGGAACTTGCCCTTTTTTTTTTAAAGGACTTAGTCTTGAAAAAAAATTCCAGCATTAACTTACACACGTGAGTTTCAGATTTTTATTCTCCAAAAATAGTTTGCCTTAAGTAAATTAGTATACATAAAAGGAGTTTGCTTTTGTTTCTAATCTTAGATATAGTAAGGGGACAAAAAATTTTTTAGAACATGTGGTGATCTCGTAATTTTGGGGGTATGGTGTAATGTAGTAATTAAGAGCGTAAACTGCCTGAGTTGGCTTCTTAACTGTGTGACCCTGAGTGGGGTTCACCCCTTTCTGTGCCTTAGTTTCCTCATCTATAAAGTGGGGCTAATAGTGATCTCTGCCACAGAGGGTTGTCTTGAGAATTATATTTCAAATAAATAATGTGAAATACCTAGAACAGTAAGTAGTGAATAAATTTTATCTGCTATTATTATTACATAGAAAATCTTCACATTTGACATTTGCAGATAGTACAGTCATAACCCCATAAGAAAAACATAATGTGCAGTCTGTAGAAATTTTGATTGTGGTGATTTACTTTTATATTTTATTTTATATAGGACATCCGAGCTTTCGGCTCCCGTTTCTCCAATATCAAAACATTGGATGACTTATTTCCTCCTAGAAGTATGGTCTTTATGCTGGGAACCCCCTATTATGGCTGTACTGGAGAAGTTAGTTTCAGTTATTGTTACTAATTAAATTTATTTCTGGTTTCAAGTTGATATAATTATTTAACTTCTTTTCATTTAGATGTAAAATAAAATGTAATACTGAAAGGAGAAATAAGAAAAATTTATCCTTATAATTTGTGAACACAGTATTTGACTGTATACCTTCAGTCTTAAGCAAGTTGGAATTGGGGGTGGGGGATAAAGAATTCAAATGCTGATTTTTTTTTTCCAGAAATTTGCTTATTGTGGTGGTATGGATGAAGCAATTCTGAAACTATTTTAAGTGTGTTATAGGATTGAATGATCTAGTGTGTTGATGTTTTGTGATGCCCCAGTTCTCACATGGAATAAGGTATATGTAAATATGTAATGGAGGAAAGCAAGAAGGAACTTGTAGGGGATGGATTAGAACTGAAGGTATTAATTTGACCTAATGATTGCTAAAATATGTATATGTGTGTATATATGTATTTATATAGACATGTATATGTATGTATATGTATGCACATGTGTCTGTACACACATATTCTAGTTCTGTTTGCTCGACAGCAGTGGATTAATGGGGTTAATGAATTATAGACCATTGGGAAGGGTAGGAATTCATGATTCCATAGTGACAATAAATAGATAAATAGGGAAAGGAAGGGCCCTTGCTTGCAGTAACATGTTGAGGGTAAATGTGGAGAGAGTACTGGAGTTGGAAAACCATCATTTTGTAGCCAGTCTATGGTAAAGATTGAATCAGGCAAGAATCATCAATGGAAACTAAATATGGGGGGAATTTTTGACCAGGAGCAGAATATTTGCAGTGTTGAAAAGTGTCTCCCCATAGGCTGTTTATTACTGGTGAGGAGGAAAAAAAAACTGTACTTAGAGTGAAGAAATTGAGCAATATCTTGACTGTATGATCAAAGTTAATGTCACAGTGAGGGACAGATGAACATCGTATACCTCCAGATGTGGTACTTTGAGGAGGACACTACATCACCTGTGCTATATTCTGGATGAGAATGTGTAACCTTAATCTAATCATGAGGAAGCATCAGACAGACACAAAATAGGAACCTTCTTTTTAAAAGAGAAGAGTGAACTGTGTTCTTTAAAATGCCATTGTCATAAAAGACAAAGGCTGTGAATATAATCCAGATTAAAGGAGGCTAAAAAGATGGGACCACTAAATGCAATACCTGACCCTAGACTGGATCCTGTAGTAGAGGGAGAAGGGAGTTCTATAAATAAAGAACATTATTAGATCAACTGATAAAACTGGGATATGGAAGTAGCTTAGATGAAAGTATTGTGTCAGTGTAAATTTACGTAATAACTATACTGTGGTTATGTAATAGAATATCCTTCTTAGGAAATATACACTGAAATATTTAGGGGTAAGGGACATGATGTGTATCATATACCTTCAAATGATTCAGAAAAAAATTAAGTAATTATACACAGCATGCAAATGTTAAAGCGAATGGGGTAACGTGTTAATAGGTGAATCAGGATAAATATTCACATGTTCTCTATGCTATTTTTGTTTTTGCAACTTTTTGTTAGTTTGAAATTATTTGCAGATAAAAAGCTAATTTAAAAAAAGAATGATGAGCAGCTATTAAAGCAAGGATATAGTGACCCAAATTTATAATATTACCACATCCACTTAACAAATGTCAAGAGAATTCTCACTATCCAACTTTATTCTCACATTGTATTTCAGAAATAATAAACACTGTTCAAATAAAAAGAAAAATAAATAAAATGTAGTGAAAGAGACTAAAACATACTCTTTTTTTCTCTCTCTCTCTCTCCAAGGTTCAAGATTCATGCGATGTGATTACAGAAGGTAGGATTCGTGTGGTTTTCAGCATTCCGTGTGAACCTAATCTTGATGCTTTAATTCAGAACCAGCATGTGAGTACAGCAGTTCATATTGTTTCATTTATTAAGTAGAATTGATAAATTTTTTAAATGTTAGAAGGATATTTTTGCCATCTCCTTTGAGTTTATTTCAAATATTTAATGCTGATTAGATTTTCTCATAGTTGCATCTAGTATTATTGTTTAAAGATAATTATAGAATCTGCTCAAATCTCCATGCAGATCTTTGGGGTTAAAAAAGAAGAAATCACTGAAGTCCCGTTATTAATCCATAATGGTTATATGGCTGATTCTGTTCAAGCTTACAGAGCCTTGGTGGTGCAGTGGTTAAGCATTTGGCTGCTAACCAAGAGGTCAGCAGTTCAAATCCACCAGCCGCTCCTTGGAAACCATATGGGGCAGTTCTACTCCCTCCTCTAGGTTCGCTATGAGTCGGAACTGACTCGACGGCAGCGGGTTTGGTTTTTGGGGTTTTGCTTCAAGCTTATAAGAAGTATATTGATTAACATAACTTCTGGGAATAGAGTTCACGTTTTTTCAACCTTCTATAATTATTCCAAGCACAGATGCCTTCGTTTTTAGTTAGAAGTGACAAATGGCGTTCGTGCAAAGGATGTTTGTCTCTACTCAGCCAAAGATGAACAGTATCAACCCTAGAGAAAATCGAGAGGCTACATTTAAGTCCACAATGTCTTTTTTTAGGACCTTTTTCTCCAAAGATATTCCCCGGCCTCTTTTTGTTTTTCCTTCTTAAAATAGGGAGGAGGTTCTGCTGTTAGTCGTTTGTTCTTATTGGTTGATTAAGCTGACTGAAATTAATTCACAATCAATCAGCTATTGCTACTTAAGCTTTTACTTCCACTAATGATAAAATCTCGAATGGCGAGGCTGAACATGTTATCAGGAGGGATCAGTCCCTGGAGGAGGACATCATGCTTGGTAAATAGAGGGTCATGGAAAAAGAGGAAGACCCTCAACAGGATGGATTGACACAGTGGCTGCAACAATGGGCTTAAGCATAACAACAATTGTGACGATGGTGCAGGACCAGGCAGTGTTTTGTTCTGTTGTACATAGGGTTGCTATGAGTCAGAATCGACTCCATGGCACCTAACAACAACAACGATGATAAAATCTAAAGTTTTAAGGTATTCAGCATCAGTACACTCATGAAGAAATTTTATGGAAGGCAGAGGAGATCTTTACCATCAGGTCTCTGTGGAGAAAGAATTCAGAAAGCACAGTCAGGAAACTGGGAGAGTGGCCCACTAGACAAAGAAGCTAGAACCTTGTTCTGGGAGTCAGTGAAGGTAGAAGAGCTTGTGCTTCTTCAGCTCTGGCGTTTTCTAGATGTAGAAGAGTTTGCCCATGGTAGCATACAGTGTTGATTGGCATGCCTTCTACAGTATCCTTTCCTTCCCTTTATGTATCTTCTGTAACTTTTACTCAAGGCTTATTTCTCTGTCCCAACATCGTAAGATATTTATTTTACATTTTCTAGAATATTTGTGATTATTTTAATTAGTTTTAATTACACCATAACCCAGAGTTTCTTAAAAGGAGTCTGTTTGTATTTTGGGCAGGACAATTATGTGTTCAGTAGTACTCCTCCACATATGGCAGGCCAGTTGGCATCCTTGGCCCTTAGGTACTAAGTGCTAGCAGCCCATGCCAATTATTGTAACTGAATGTGCCCCTAAGACGTTTCCCAGTGCTTATTAGAAAGAGGATACTGCCTATAATTGAGAACTACTAAAGCATACTTAGTTTGTCTGTATTATTTCTAAATCTTATGATGTTCTTGATGAAAAAACTTTGTTGCAGTCTTTACTAATATATTCCCATATTTTTAATAGTGACTTTATATTCTAGGCCACCAAAAAAAGAAATGACCATTTTGGAGGTCATTATAGACATGATCATTAAAAAAAATAATAGTGGCGGATTTAATTCCTTGCCAGTTTCTGGAAATTTGCTCTTTGTTGGTGGTAAAATTTCCTTATTTTCATATAAAACAAGTATGCTTTTTTGTTAAGTACATTGTTAGCAATATTTGGTAGCTTACCCTAGTTGGTACTGGATTTGTGAGACTTTAATTTGCTTTCTGGTTAAAAAGGATATAATCTGATTCTTTTTTTTCATTTGACAATCTTCCCTTAAGTACACAAATTGTGTTTACATTTCACTATATTAATTACGAGCCTATTCATGCATGTTATTTTCATATGGTAGTATTAGAGGAAATGAATATTACTTATGTCCATATATAAAGAACTCTTTTAGTTGCAACTACTTTGATGACATAGTTTTGTTTTAATTCAGTGTAATAATTATTAAAGCCTCATCTTGTGCCAGGTACTTTGTTAGGCTCTGCTTAGAATATGAAAATTAGTTTTAAAAAAAAATGCCCTTGTCTGTGGAGTTTGCTATTTAGTACTTACAGTAGAGTTAATTTCTTGAGACAGTTTTATAAAATGTATATTTCCTCCCCCTTTTAATCTATCCTTGGGAATTCTGTTCTTTAAGGAGAGAGAGGAGCAGAAAATTTCTGCGTTCAGATCTGTTTAAAAAGAAAGGGAAATGGATCGCTTACTTTTGAGAGTCCTTACATTGCCACAATCCAGTGGTTAGTGATGTGGTGCTTATCTCCACATTTTAAAGGTAAAGAAATAACATTTAATGTCTTTGTGCTTCCATAATTGACCTTTTTGTTTTTATATTTAAAGAAATATTCTATAAAGTACAACCCAGGATATATGTTGGCCAGTCGCCTTGGAGTGAGTGGATACCTTGTTTCAAGGTTTACAGGAAGTATTTTTATTGGAAGAGGATCTGGGAGAAAGTAAGTTTACACTAGAGAAATTTACTTAACGTGGCAGAAAAATTAAATGATACAGATAAAATGGTTAATATTTCAGCATTTATTTTCTTATATTAATTGCTCTGAATTTTCTTTTAAAATTGTGTATAAATTTCTCTGATGGTGATCTTTCATCTGAATGACAAATGTTTTAGATGGTTGGAAAAAAGTTCTTTTTAACAGCTAACAAATTGAACCTTGAAAAAAGGTATCAGAGGGTGTGTGTGAACCTCAATAGTGTATTTCCCTGCATTTTATTATTTTATTTTCCTCTCTAATTACATAAATAATTAATCTGTATTCATTGTTAACTTGGGTTTTGAAGCTTTTCCTCTAGTCTTTCAATTAATGCTACTTTATAAATACATAACAACTAAAATATAGAGCAACAGTCAAAACCGAGCTTTTCTAAGGATTAAAAGCAAAACTTTTTACTCCTTGAATAAAATTTTAAAACTGTTCTGTGTGTATGTGTGGTTTAAATTCAGCCCTCATGGAGACCATAAAGCAAATGTGGGTTTGAATCTCAAGTTCAACAAAAAAAATGAGGAGGTGCCTGGATATACCAAGAAAGTTGGAAGCGAATGGATGTATTCATCTGCAGTAGAACAACTCCTTGCAGAATACTTAGAGAGGTAAGTGCCTAAAAAGAGCTTACTAACCAAAACCAAAAACCAAACCCATTGCCTTTGAGTCGATTCCAAGTAGAGCTGCCCCATAGGATTTCCAAGGAGTGGCTGGTGGATTTGAACTGCTGACCTCTTGGTTAGCAGCTGAACTCTTAACCACTGTGCCACCAGGGCTCCAAAAAGATCTTATTAGGTATCCAGAAACTTCGGGTAATAACTTTATTTATTTTGCCTTGCTGATATCACTTTTAGAAGGAGAATGTTTTCTTTAGTAAAATGTGGCATGTCATTCATAAACTTAATTTTGTGTTATGGAGCCAAAGTCACAGCCATTTGTCAAAATACAGCAGAAAATACTATACTTCTTTTATTATTTAACAAGAAAAAGAATGATGAGAATTGACTACCTTTTAATTAAAAATATCCTTTACTTGCTATCAGAAATTATTCACTGTTCTGCATTTCTGTGTCAGACTTAAGAGGACTGATGTGGATAAACAAAACAGCTGTTGGCATAGTGGATTTTTCTGAGTTTTCAATCCCAGCTGGATGGAAAGTTACTTTTTTAGAATTATTGATTTTTATTACTAAAATGGTCTAAGAAGTCAACAAATCTCAACTCATTATAAAAATGAGAAAACAAAGTAGCAAAGTTAATTGAGTTACTTGGTGGCGAAGATTTACAGGAAATAGTTTTACTTCTGATTCACAGTTGAATGTTCTTTCTGTTATTCCCTTGATTTCTAACCTTTTCGTGTTTGTGGATCCCATATTACAATCTGAGAGTTTAATTTTCTTCTGTTCGCTTTCGTATTTCTCTAAAGGATCATATTTACTTTTTCTGCATTTTTCAACTCAGCATATCCCTTGGTTTCCTACTATTGAAGAAGTTTTAGCTCTCTTCTACTTCCTCCCATTCGCTGTCCCCCCTACATGTACATACACACATATTTCCCCTCTCCATTCATTCTCTCACTATAGTTTTATCACAATTTTTGGTTAAATCCATATTTAAGGTTTGCTTGATTATGTTAATGTGAATGTTGTTCACAGCTGAACCTCGTAGTATATTATGATTACATTTCCTTCCTTGTACACATTTTTGTTTTTCCTGCCTTATTTTTTTATTTGTTTAATTATATATATTTCCAAAACTAATTCAGCCCTAAACTCTGTGCCATCACTTTAAAACTCTGTACAGTCAAACAGATCAGATGGTCTCTGGGTTCCATTTTCTTCCTGGAGACTTCCTTCTTAAACCTTATAATTTCCTGCTTCAGATTGAACTGATTGCTCTTTATGCCTGTTGCACAGCTCTCATTTGTGATGTTTCCCTTTACTATATCATCCTATGAATTCTCACCACCATTCTCCTGTTTAAGATTCCTTTATTTCCTGGCTCACATGCCTTACTCTTTCTAGGTTATGTCTCCATTTCGAGGAAACACTTACTCTGGTCGCTTCCTGAAAAAGCCTGCATGCCTGGAAATGTCTTTCTTCTTCCGCTATATTTGATTGATACCTTGACTGGATATAGAATCCTATACTGGAAATTATTTCTACTCAGAGTTTTGAAAGCATTGTTCCATTCTCTTCTTGTTTCCAATATTGCTGTTGAGATGTCCTGTGCCATTCTGTTTCTGACTCTTTGAATATAATCTGTTTTCATTTTCTGAAATCTTTTTAGGATCTTCCTTTTACCATTGCTGTTTAGAAATGTGATAATATGTGCCTTGGTATGGATCTTTTTTCCTTCCTTTTACTGTTTATCTCTTTCATCCTTGAAACTAATACCTTTCCATTCTCAGAAACTTTTCTTATATTATTTCCTTGATAATTTCTTCCTCACCATTTTCTCTGTTCTCTCTGACATTCTTATTAGTTAGAAAGTTGGATCAATCCTCCAATTTTCTTATTTCTTCTTATCCATTTTCTATATTGTTATGTAATTCTGTTCTACAGGTAGTCTCTTACAATGGGGTTCTGTTCTGACGACTCCCTCGTAAGTCGGTTCTGACATGTCAGAATACCTGTTTTTTGTTTGTTTGTTTTGTTTTCATTATTATTGCCTTTTCTTATCAGTATCTGTATAAATCCGATCTTTATTGTCTTTGGAGGCTGGCATGAGAATGATAACATCAGCAACTTACGCGCTACAACATTGTATATAGTACACATTACTAATGATATGATGTACAAAAAAAATCCTGCGGTTGTAAGTGCAATACATCATAACTTAAATACCTTGTAAGTTGGGAACTACCTGTACTCTGTGGGAGATTTCTTCAACTTTCTTATAACTCTCCTGCTATGACTATTCCTTTCTTAAAGCATCTCATTCTTTTTTAATTTCTTTTATTGTGGTGAAAATATACGTAACAAAATACATTACTTTTCAGTGACATTGATTACATTCTTCAAGTTGTGCATCAATTCTTTTTTTTTTTCTTATTGTGCTTTAGGTGAAAGTTTACAGCTCAAGTTAATTTCTCATACAAAAATTTATACATATATTGCTATGTGACACTAGTTGAAATCCCCACAATATGACAGCACACTCCCTCTTTCCACCCTGGGTTTCCCATGTCCCTCCAACCAGCTCCTGTGCCTTCCTGCCTTCTCATCCTGCCTCCAGACAGGAGCCGCCCATTTGGTCTCATATATCTGCTTGAACTAAGAAGCACACTCTTCACAAGTATTAGTTTATGTTTTATAATCCAGTCTAATCTTTGTCTGAAGAGTGGGCTTCAGGAATGGTTTTAGTTCTGAGTTAACAGAGCATCTGGGGGCCATAACTTTGAGGGTTCCTCCAGTCTCAGTCAAACCATTAAGTCTGGTCTTTTTACATGAATTTGAGTTCCGCTCCACACTTTTCTCTTGCTCCATCAGGGACTCTCTGTTGTGTTCCCTGTCAGGGCAGTCATTGGTTGTAGCAGGGCACCATCTAGTTCTTCTGGTCTCAGGCTGTTGGAGTCTCTGCTTTATGTGGTCCTTTTGTCTGTTGGGCTAATATTTTCCTTGTGTCTTTGGTGTTATTCATTCTCCTTTGCTCCAAGTGGGCTGGGACCAATTGATGCATCTTAGATGGACGCTTACAAGCTTTTAAGACCGCAGACACCACTCGCCAAAGTGAGATGTACATCAATTCTTGATATCCTTTTCCAAATCATTCCACCACATTTAACATAAACCCACTACTCCCAGGCAGAAATTCCCCACTTTCGCCTCTCTCCCACCCCTGGTAGCCACTAATAATCTTTTGTTTCTGTATATTTGCTTATTTCATATGAGGTAATATAATATCTGTCCTTTTGCAACTTATTTTGCTCAGCATGATGTTTTCAAGGTTTATCCATGTAATGGCATGCATCAAGACTTCATTTTTCTTTATGGCTGAGTAGTACTCTATTGTGTATACATACCACATTTTGTTTATCATATATGCTGTCAGATTCTCTGCTTCTCTTTTCATATGTCTTTCTAGGTTTATGCTCTTTTTTATGCTTTATTATTATTTTAATGGGTTTGGGAGGGAGCAAAGATAAGCAAATGTGTTCAGTCTGCTATGGGTTCCTGAAAATCCTGCACTATTCAGGAAGAAATGGAGTTTTAAGGGATATCAGAAAAAATTTATAATGTATTTTAATTTGCTCTATTGTGGAGTACTCCTGCTTTATTGTGAAAATTAGGATGTAAACCTGTAGATACTATTTTTATCCATTTAACACTCATCATTCTGATCAAACAGGGAGTAATAATTAAAGCTGATTATAGAACCATTTCTACTTCAGCCAGTGAGAGTGTTTTGAGCATCTGTGAACACTCTTTCAGATCTTTCGGTCTCTCTCCATTATTAATATTCTCTGTATAAGAATCTTTAATACACATTCTATGTCCACTTAGGAGCAGAAATTATCTGAGAAGAACTTTACATGAAGTTAGCCTTGTATTTTTTTTTTTTTAAGCAGTATTTTTGTTTGTTTGTTTGGCTAGAGCTCCAGAACTCTTTAGTTATATAGCCAAAAATAGCCAAGAGGATGTGTTCTATGAAGATGACATTTGGCCAGGAGAAAATGAGAATGGGTAAGCAAAATTAATGGTATTTATTGCCTCATGGTTCAAGTTTGTGGTTTCAATGAAAGATGTAGCTAGTTTACCAAGATTTTATGTTACTATTTTTTTGTTTGTTTTGTGTTGTGTTGTTTTTACTTTAAGATCTTAATAGAATCTTTCATTTCATTTATATCAGTAACTTTTTAAAAAATAACTTGTGATTTCTTTTTATTCCTGAGAGGTAATGGGTCCATATTTATGTTAGATTTATGATTAGTAGCAATTAAGTTTAGTTGATTAACCATTGATTATATAATTTGACATCTCTTATAATTCATAGCCCTCAGAAAGTTTATATAAGCCCTTTTGTATAATCCCTGAGAAAGTGAAGAAGTTATTGTTACTGTTTTTAATGTAGTGCTGAGAAAGTTCAAGAAATTATTACTTGGCTAAAGGGACATCCTGTCAGTACTTTGTCTCGTTCTTCTTGTGATTTACAAATTCTGGATGCAGCTATTGTGGAGAAGATCGAGGAAGAAGTCGAGAAATGCAAGGTAATAGCTTTCAATAACTGAGATTATTGATGATATTTGAAATTAATTTGAATATTATTCTACAAATAAGCATTTCTCTTTTAATCAAATAAAACATAGTGATTCCAATTAATGTCAAATAATCTTATAATTAAAAAAAAAGTTCCTTCCATTTGCAATAGGTATTAATAATTTACTCTGAGGATTTTGAATGAATATAAATGCATTGAAATATGTAAAGGCAAAGCATTTAAATTTTATGTCCTTGTTTTTCTAATTTTAAGAATTAATATTTTGTGATTCTAGTCAAAGTAGAAAGTGAGCAATTGAGAAATGAAGGTAATCTGTTATTCCTTCCTATTCTAAATCTTTAAAGGCACAGTTTGTCTTTTTATAAACATAAAAATTGATTTGACTTTTACAGAATTACTTCTAAAATGTACTTTTTTCATCATAAACTCATTCTATTAGTATTAAATTTCACTTAATTTCTTCTGTTTTGTAAGTCTTGTTTTCAAAAGCAGTGAACTTCTGTAGTAGACATACTTGTTTTATGCATGGTGGCGCAGTGGTTAAGAGCTCAGCTGCTAACCGAAAGGTCAGCAGTTCAAATCCACTAGCCGCTCCTTAGAAACCCTGTGGGGCAGTTTTACTCTGTCCTGTAATGTCACTATGAGTCAGAATCAATGGCAGTGGGTTTTATAAGTCAGAATTGACTCGACAGCACACAGCAACAATAATGCTTGGAGTCTTTAGGGTGGTGCAGACAGTTGATGTGCTTGGCTACTGACCGAATCATTGCAGTTTGAGCCCACCCAGAGGTGCCTCAGAAGGAAGGCCTGGCAATCTACTTCTGAAAAATCAGCCATTGAATACCCAACGAAGGACAGTTCTACTCTGACGCACATGGGGTCATCATGAGTGAGAATCGACAACTTTTTTTTTTTTTAATAATGCTTATCTGTTTGAATTCTCTCATCACATCCTCAAGAGTTGTGAATACAGTCTGAAAAATTACCACTAGATGATACTTTTTCTCTTTAGGAAAAAAGAGAGGCTATAGTTTGATTTTTGAAAGGTCATTGATACTCAGCTAAGGGTAGAAAGCCTGTATTTCTTTTTGTTAGTTTTTCAACATAAAGTAAAATCTATTTCTCTAGCAGTATTATTGAAGTGAATTTTCCAGTTAACAGAAGTGTATATAACTTTAAGCCCCCACATTTTATTTTTAACCCATTTGGAAGCAGAGCTTTCTAAAATGCTTTACACATTTTTTTTCTTCCTTTACAAACAAAAGATGTATATACAGTCATGTGCTGCATAACATCTGAGCAACGTCCAACCACATATACGTCCGTTGTCCCGTAAGGTTATAATAGAGTTCAGAAATCCTGAACAGAGAACGGGATGGAGTGGACACAACAGCTTCTTGCACGCAACACGTGTATCTTATGTCTCTTGTACGCAAAGCAATCGCGCTGCCAGTATTCCATATAGCTTTGCTAAGTATGTAATACAGTGTTCGCGTGTCTAAATCTCATGATGTCGTATTTCACAGAACGTATCGTGGATGTTAAGCAGCACATGACTGTATAAAGTTGTAGTCTATTATTTTGATTACAACACTTTTAAAATTCTGTGTACATATAGATAAGACAGGACTTTTTTTTTAACTTCTTAGTGTGTCAAGAAGGTGCAACTTTTTAAGTGATTTTTCTTTTCACTTATAATTTATAAGTGATATTTCTTTTTCTTTTATAATGTTATTAGGGTAATAAAAGGAAAAAATATTTTAAAAAATTATGAACATAATTTAAGCATTTTCTTTGTAATGCAGGGTCATCATTAAAAGTATCAGTAACTTTCTGTGTAAAAAACACAGTACTTCTCAAGCTTTAATGTGCAAAGGAATTAGCAGTGTTACTTGTTAAAATATAGATTCTGATTCAATAGGCCTAAGTGGGGCTTAAGATTCAGCATTTTTAACAAGCTCTCAGGTGGCCATGTTTTGAGTAGCCAGAGCGTAGAACTTAGCATTGAGTAACTGATGATGAAACCTGTTGTGAAAGTTTCCCAGGTGATTCATTTACCCAGTGAGGTTTGATTAGCATATCCGCTATAGTGTAATAATGCCTGGGGGTGTACTAGTATGTGAGTTGTTTTTTTATGTACAGTATTCCAGGCACAGTTCTTGTGTCAGTTTTGGTTTGTTTTGGTTTTTTTTTTAAATACTTTAAATCTCCTCTCATATTGCCAGTTATTTCTTCTTGCTGTTGTCAGTGGGCACCAAGTGTACTCTATTAGTCCTTCTAGTCTGCTGTGGGCTGGAACACATTGTCTACAATGGCTTCACTGTTTACCCACCCTATTTAAAATTGCAGTCTTTCATCACTGCTGATTCCCCTCACCTGCTTTATTTTTGCCTTGCCACACTTTTCACCTTCATACATGGTATATATTTTTTCTTATTTTGTTTATTATGTATCTTCCTCAACTAGAATAAAAGAACAGTTCCCTGCTTTATCCCCAGCACGTAGATCAGTGTGAACGGAACTTAGTAAATGTTTGTTGAAAGAATAAATGAAGTGTCTGTGTAATAGAAGAAAATGACTGTTTAAAAGCTTGTACATTTTACAGTGTTTAAGTACATTTGAACTCTATAGCTTATGAACTCTAACTTGTACACATTTCCATAAGCTACATGTCACTTATAGTTGCCTGCCATGAAAGTAAAACTGCTTCCATTTTTATTATTAGGTGAAAATTTACTTTCTTTAAAAAAAAATTTGAGTAGTATTTTGTGGATTACAAGGGATACACAGTGGATATACATTATTATCATGTTTCTATAAAGTAGTAAAGATAGGAGAAAATTCTTTTGAGTTTCAGTTTACTTCTAGCATTTTTTAAGTAATCAAAAGACTCAAACTTCAGAGCCAATTTCTCAATAGATTCTGAAGGCAAGGGCTTGTTAAATGAATGCCACTTTAATTTTTGTAGCTCCAACCCCACAGTATTGTCATAGATCAATAATTTTATACCTGGTTAGTTTTCTTTAATATACATCTGTTGTGACCATTGTATTCTTTTTGGAGTAAAAAGGCTTTTGAATGCAATAGCATTCATATAAAGTTCAAAAAGGCAAATCTAATCTTCTGTGTGGCGTAGTGATAAGAGCTGCGGTGAGCTACAGCTGCTAACCAAAAAGGTTGGCAGTTTGAATCCACCAGTTGCTCCTTAGAAACCCTGTGGGGCATTTCTGCTCAGTCCTGTAGGGCCGCTATGAGTCAGAACCAACTCGATGGCACCTAACAAAAATAACAGCAATCTTTTGTGTTAGAATTAAGGTTATTTTGGGGATGAGTAGTAACTGAGAAAGGACGAGGGGGAGGTTGTTCTTGTGTTGTGCTTAGTAATGTTCTATTTCTTGAACCTGGGTGTGATTACATAAATATGTTCAGTCTATGAAGATTCATTCCACTACTCGTCTGTCAGTTTGTCATACTGTGGTAGCTTGCATGCTGCGTGTAGTATTTTCAGTCACCTTATATGCATGTAAAAGCTGGACAATGAATAAGGAAGACCAAAGAGGAATTGATGCGTTTCAATTATGGTGTTGGTGAAGAATATTGAATATACCGTGGACTGCCAGAAGAAAGAACAAATCTGTCTTGGAAAAAGTACAGAAAGAATATGCCTTAGAAGCGAGGATGGCGAGACATCTCACATACTTTGGACATGTCATCAGGAGGGACCAGTCCCTGGAAAAGGACATCATGCTTGGTAAAGTAGAGGGTCAGCGAAAAAGAGAAAGACCTTCAACGAGATGGATTGACACAGTGACTGCAACAATGGGCTCAAACATAGCAGTGACTGAGGATGGTGCAGGACCAGACAGTGTTTCATTCTGTTGTACATGGATCGCCACGAGTAAGAACCGACTCGAGGGCACCTAACAACAACGTAAAGATTCATTAAGCCATGCACTTATAATTTTGCATTTTTCTTTATGTGTAGTACTTCAACAAAAATTTTATTTTAAAAAGTTTCTGTATCAGAATTTAGGCAACAGGCATTTTAAACATGTTTATTTTATTCCTCTTGGCTGCTTCTCCAGAAACTTCAAGTGTTCATAAAATAGATCATTTCTTTTGGCTTTTCCAATTCAGACATGTAAAAGTACTTGAATAATTTAATGTTTTTATCAGTTAATATTTTTTAAATGCTTTAAAATTTTCTTTCATTTTCTCAGCAAAGGAAGAATAATAAGAAGGTACGAGTGACAGTGAAGCCCCATTTGCTATACAGAGTAAGTTTCATATCAGAGAATTCAGAGTGGTTGCGTTTACCCTGAAAATGTAGAAGGAATAAAAATTGTTTTTAATGGATTAGTAGAAAAACTTTTTTTCAAATTAAAATTAATAGCTTTCTTCTCTTCAGCCTTTAGAACAGCAACACGGAGTCATTCCTGATAGGGATGCAGAATTTCGTCTCTTTGACCGTGTTGTAAATGTGAGAGAGAACTTTTCAGTTCCTGTTGGCCTTCGAGGCACCATCATAGGAATTAAAGGGGGTAAGATCTCAATATTTGACATGTCTTCAACTGCATTTATATCATAAAGTAAAATACAAATTTGTTTTTCTTATACCTATGCAGAAAACAGCTACAAATCAGGAAAAAATTAAATCCTCTCATATTTTAGTTAAATTTTTTTTTACATTATATTTTTCAGAGAAAATTCTCCTTTTCTATCTTGTGTGATCATTTGGGAAATGGTTAAAAGAAAGGAAATTGAGAAAGGGCTGCCGAGAATTTGGAGATTTCTATATACCATATTACAGTAACACAAGACCTTGATGGGCATGCATAAGTTTCATGAAACTGAGTAAAATTTTATCACTATTCCTTAGTCTTTCATTGAATCTTGCTTAGAGATTTACCTTACTTTTTATTGTAGTCTCTTGGTTTCTGTGGAAATTAACAAGCATGATATATGAGCTTATTTACAGTTAAAAGAATTGAAAATTCATATATTAATTTGAACTTTTATTAATACAACTAGATTATGTATATAAAACAGACTTATCAGAGAAATGATTCCCTTTGGGTTACAAAAATCTCTCTCTGTCTCTTTAAGAACTCCCAAAATAAAAGTAATGCCATATTTAGGTATTTGAACTATGGTGTTTATACATCATACTGGAAGAAAAGCAAAATGGGAACAAGTGGTTTCATATATCTAGTTACAAATTATGGAATATTTTTAATAAAAATCACCAACCTCTAGAAATATAAAGGGTTGGTTAGGATATAGAGTGAGAATTTTTATAACTCTGATAGTATTATCTGGTAAAGTTAAAGCTACTAAAACTACTAGAACTAATAGTTTAAGTTTACCAGGGTTTCAGGATACACCATCAATATACAAAAATCAATCATGTTTCTATATACCAGCAATGAATAGTTAGAAATTGAAATTTTTAAAAATACCTTTTATAATAGCATTAAAAATATGAGTTACTTAAAGGATAAATTTAACAAAACATGTGAAGGACCAGTACACTGAAAAACACAATACATTGCTGAGAGGAATTAAAGTTTCCCAAAATTAATGGAGAGATATACCTTGTTCATGGATCAGAAAACTCAACATTGTTAAGATGTCATTTGCTTTGATTTGTAGATTGAAAGCAATCCCATTCAAAATCCCAGCTGCCTATTTTATAGAAATTCACAGACTAATTCTAAAATTTATATGGAGAGCAAAGAATCTAGACTAGTCAGAGCAGTTCCGAAAAAGAAAGGCAAAGTAGCAGGACTTACTCTACCTGATTTCAAAACTTATTATAAAGCTCTTGTAATGAAAACAGTGTGGATTGGCATAAAGATAGACATATAGATCAATGGACTAGAATAGAGTCCAGAAATAGATCCACACATATGTGATCAATTGTTTTTTCAACAAGGGTACCAGTGTAATTCAGTGGAGAAAAGATCATCTCTTCAACAAAGGTGCTGGAACAATTAGATAACCATATGCAAAAAAATGAACCTTGATTCTTACATTATACCTTCACTAGAAATTAACTCAAAATGGATCAGAAAGCAAAATGTAAGAGCTAACATAAAACTTCTAGAAGAAAACAGAGAAAAAATCTTAGCAACCCAGGATTTGGTAAAGATATCTTAAATAGAACACAAAAAAACCTGAACTGTAAAAGAAAATATTGACGATTTGGACTTCATCAGACACTTTCACAGAAATGAGAAGCTACAGACTGAAAGAAAATATTCACAAAACATGTATCTAACAAAATTACTTGTACTTCGAATATATAAAGAATTTTTATGACTCAATAATAAGACAACAACCTAATTTTTAAAGTGGACGAAATAGTTAAACAGCTATTTTGCCACCGAAGATATGTTGATGGCAAATAAAAAACCAAACCAAACCCGTTGCCATCAAGTTGATTCCGACTCATAGCGACCCTATAGGGCAGAGTAGAATTGCACCGTAGGGTTTCCAAGGAGCGCTTGGTGGATTCAAACTGCCGACCTTTTGGTTAGCAGCCGTACCTGTTAACCACTATGCCACCAGAGTTTCCGATAGCAAATAAGCACACAAAAAGATTTGCAACATCATTCATTAGTCATTATGGAAGTACAAATTGAAACTATAATAAGATGCTATCACACACCAACTAGAATGATTTAAATTAAAAAGACTGACCATACCAAGTGTTGGCAAGGATGTGGAACAACTAGAACTCTCATGCATTGCTAGTGAGAATGTAAAATGATAAAATCACTTTGGAAAATAGTTTGGCAGTTTCTTAAAATGTTAAGCATTTATCTGCCATAGAACCCAGCCATTCCATTCCAGATATTTACCCAAGAGACATGAAGGAATATGTCCTCAAAAAGACTTGTTCGTGAATCCTTATAACAGCTTGATTTGTAATAACCAAAAAGCTGGAAACAATTCAAATGACCATCAGCAGGTAAATGGATAAACAAATTGTTGGATACTCATACAATGTAATACTTCTCAGCAATAAAAAAGAACAAATTACTGATTACACACAACATGGATGGCTCAGAATAAGTATGCTGAATGAAAGAAGCATACCAAAAAAGTGTATATACATATGATTTCATTTATATAAAATTTTGCAAACTAATCTGAAGTGACAGAAAGTAGATTTTTAGTGATTGAGGAAGGAAGGGTTAGGTTACAAAAGGACACAAGGAAATTTTTGAGAGTGTCTTAACTGTGATGGCTTCATGATTATATGCATATGTTAAAACTCATCAAATTGTATACTTTAAATATATGCAGTTTAAGTCAGTTATACCCCAGTAAAGCTGTAAAAAACAAAAAAAAAAAGTACATTCCCTAAGACCCAGCACTTTCACTTCCACTCTAGGGAAACAATCACTTGCCTGAGGATACATTGACAGGCTGTTCATAGTAGTGTTTATAATACCAAAAAGTCAGAAACAACCTAAATGTTCGTTAGCAGGAGAATGGATAAAGTATTTCCATAAATGGAATATTGTACATACAGAAAACTGAATGAACACATACTTAAATGGGTAAATCCCACAAAATAATGTTGAACCAAATAAAAGTAAGTTGCAGAAGAATATATTTTCTATGCTATCATGTATATAACGTTTAAAAACTTGCAAAACAATACTACATGTCATTTAGATATATGTATATTTGTGGTAAAAATATAAAGAGATGTGTAAACCCATTGCCATTGAGTCAATTCTGACTCATAACAACCCTACAGGACAGAGCAGAACTGCCGCATACGGTTTCTGAGGAGTGGCTGGTGGATTCGAACTGCTGACCTTTTGGTTAGCATCTGCGCTGTTAACCACAGTGCCACCAAGGCTCCCCAAAAATGTATGGGAATCATAAATTCCAAGTTGAAGATAGAGGTTACCTAGTTGGGAAATGGGGCACAGTGGTTTTCTCAAGTACTAGCTCTCTGTTTCTTAGTCTAGGTGGCATTTGTTTTATTGTAATACCATTTTTCATGTCCAGAATATTTTCTACAAACTTCAAAAATAAATGCTTTAGAGCGCTTCAAAAAATGATCTGCTGATTTTTCATCATGGGTTTTTAATATCCCTCCTTCCCCTCCGCCACTCCCTTTCTCTCTTTTAACAGCTAATAGAGAAGCTGATGTACTATTTGAAGTATTATTTGATGAAGAATTTCCTGGAGGTTTAACAATAAGGTTTGTATTTCCAGATGATAATTGCTCTTTGTGAGTGTATCTATGTGGTTATATTTTTACATTATCTACTTGTTTCTTTATTCATCCACAATTTGACTTCATGTTATATGCAAGACATCATACTTGGTACTAGGAATATAACTGTGACTAAAACAGACATGGTTTCTACCCTCATGGAACTTCCATTCTAATGGAGAAGATAATTAAGCAACTGATTACAATATTAATCGTTTAATTAAAATGCGATCCGTGCTGGCAAAGAGAAGTGCAGGTTGTTTTAAGAATGTAACTGTCCTGATAGTGCCAGAAAGGCTTGTTTGAGGAAGTGATATTTAAGATGGAACTTGAAGAATGAATAAGCCCTCGTGGCACAGTGGTTAAGCGTTTGGCTGCTAACCAGAAGGTCAGCAGTTCGAATCCACCAGCTGCTCCTTGGAAACCCAGTGGAGCCGTTCTACTCCGTCCTGTAGGGTCGCTGTGAGTCAGAATCAACTGGATGGCAATGGGTTTGGGTTTTTGATTTAGGGGAAGAGGGAGGAAGAGTGAAAAGTGTTTCAGAAAGGGGAGATAGCATATGTAACCAAGGGCATTTTCACGCATTCAAGAAACTAAAAGAATGCCGGTGTGGATAAGCCTCAGAGACTAAGTAAGATAAGAGTAAGAGAGAAAAGCAGTGCCCACACTGTGCAGGGACTTGTAAGCCATGGGTGAGACCTGAGTATATTTTTGGGAAGCACCCAATAAAAAGAAAGATTAAAGTTACAGTAGAAAGGATCGTGATAGAATGAGAGGCACCATGGTGTGTAGTAAAGTGCAGCTCTCCCACTTAAAGTTTGTGTTACCTTGGATAAGTTAGAAGCATTTTGACCCTTAATTTCCTCATCTGTAATGAAGATACATACTTCACTAGGTTATTGTGAGGATAGAATAAAATCCTTTCCACTTTTCCTTTCCCCCTTCTAAAAATTAGTTGGAATACTAAAGAGAATTTAGCTTTAGTTTTTTTTTTCCTCTGTTTTTATTAATGACTTATTAAAATTAAAAATTACTCATTTAGCCTCCTTGAATAAAATCACAGTCATCAGTCCTTATCCACCACCTGTCTGTCAGTTTGTCGTACAATGGTGACTTGCATGTTGCTGTGATGCTGGAAACTATGCCACCAATATTTCAAATACCAGTAGGGTCACCCAGAGTGGACAGGTTTCAGCAGAGCTTCCAGAGTAAGACAGACTAGGAAGAAAGCCCTGGTGATCTACTTCCGAAATCACAACAGAATATTGTTTGATAATTAGTGCTGAAAGATGAGGCCCCTAGGTTGGGAGGCACTAAAAATACAAAGTGACCACAGCAATGGACTCAAGCATACCAATGGCCATGAAGATGGTATAGGACCAGGCAGTGTTTCATTCTGTTGTACATGAGGTCTCCATGAGTCAGAGCCAATGTAACAGCAACTATCAACCAACAACAATCCTTATACCAAGTGGTCACCTTCAGAACGCTGAAGGTTTTGTTGTTTTGCAACAACTTGGATATGACTGTTACCTAAGACTTTCTTGTCTGTACTCTTCAAATGCTGTAGCAGAGTCTAAATCCCATATTTGATTTTATTTTTCATGGAAATGTTTACTTACAACATTAGTCCACCAACTTTCAGAAACATATTTTTTAAGGCGATAACTTTATTCTTAGTGGTTTTTTTTCCCCATCCCAGTTAGATGCAGTGGCTTTCTTGACTGATGGAGTATATAACAGAGGGCTGTGTAAAACATTACCTACCTATAATATATTCATTTCTGTAATGCACAGTCTTTAGTAGCTGTATTCTCACATCCAAAAATAGGTATTACCTAGCAACTTTGAACTTAGAAAGATTTCTCATAAAATAATTCTACTTTTCCACTGGTTTATGGTATAAGAAAATTACATTCTCAAGAGAAAAAATTAGGTGATAAGAGTTGTAAACATTTGACAAGAAAAGGTTTGTTTTAATATCTTGATATTTTTATCAAGGCCAGAAGAAAAATACAAGTACTCGTCTCTTAAGCCTTCCCAGCTCCAGGCCCAGAACTTTAAGATGGGAAGATGAGGAAAAAAGGACTGGATTCAGTAAATGCTCGAGAGACAAAAATGGACATTTGCCTCGTTGCATAGGTTGAGCTGCACTGAGAATGGCACCACACTCAGGTAGTTCCTGGACTTTCATAGTCCACACTGTACAAACCACAGTTGTTACAGACGTTTGGTGTTGGATTCATAAAGTTCCAGCCATAATCAGTCATTAAGTTGTAAGCTTCTTGATGGCAAGCTGTTATAATCCTTGCATCCCTTCACCACAGCAACACGCGCACATACATACTCCTACACATCTAGAACAGGCTTTGTTTTTTTCCATTTGGTAAACACTGAATAGTCTGTTAGTGAGGAACCTTTTCAAAAATGTATCATCTTATAAATTGAGATCTGTCTATGAATTCAAAGTTCCTCTACTGCTGAATTTTAAAATAACGTTTATTAATTCTGATGATAGACTCGTTGGATGCTGTCAAGTTGATTTTTCTCTCATAGCAACCCCATGTGACTGAGTAGAACTGCCCCATAGGGTTTCCTACCCCGTAATCTTTTCGGAAGCAGATTGCTGGATCTTTCTCCTGAGGTGTTGCTGGATGAGTTCAAACTGCCAGCCTTTCAGTTAGCAGCCAAGCACTTAGCTCTTGTGCCACCAGGGCTCCTTGATGATGGACAAAGTTGTTTGACTTTCCTGCTCCCTAGCATGTCTGGTATTATTTTCCTCTGATTCTGATATAACTTTATTTTTAGATGCTCACCTGGTAGAGGTTATCGACTGCCAACAAGTGCCTTAGTGAACATTTCTCACGGGAGTCGCTCTGAAACCGGAAACCAGAAGTTGACAGCCATAGTGAAACCACAACCAGCTGTGAATCACTACAGCTTGAATTCCTCCATTTTGTCTGGGCATTTGGGAGGCCTTAACCATTCCCCTCAATTGCGTTTTGTTCCTACTCAAGTAAGACCCTCTGTCTTTAATAGCTCTCTACCCTCTTTACAAATCACAGGCATAGTTTATAAGCGTAGTTGACTAATTACTAATTAAAAACCTAATTTGTCTTGGTTTTCCTTGTTCAAAAGGTTTGGTTCAAGTCAATTCCAGATTTTTTAAATTATCGTAAGCTAAACAGTGGTTTTGATAGCATTGTAACTCTATTATAAAATTACAGTTACATTAAAGAAGAAACATTTTGTTTAAATAATGAGCTTGAGAATGTGCATGTTTTCTCTTTACATATTCACTTTTCGAATTAGCATTTAAATTTTTTTCTTATACAATCCAAATGCCCCATGATGTCTGCTATGAATGGCATAAATTTGAAAGTCAAAAGAGAGAGGAGTAAATCATGTTTATCAAAAGCGATTTTCACACTGAAGTGTGCACGTAAAAAATGTTGAAATGGCAATTGTTATATATATTTTTACCACATTTTTTTAAAAAAGCAATTTTCAGGTTTCCACCATGCAACTGATGGGTGATCTATTTCATCTCAGGACAAAAATTGAGTTTTCTTGTATCAGACACTTAACTTTCTTTAATTTTGTGGCCCCAGATCTTTCCCTTAACCAGATTTTTTCACCTCAAATTTAACACGTTTATTGTAGAACAATTTGAAAACACAGATAAGTAGATAATAACAAAAGAGATGCAAACAGAAAGCTTCTGAAATCTCAGTAACTGCTGTTAGATTGCGGTGCATATTTTTCTAGAGTTTTAAATCTGCATAAAATCACTTCCCCATAAATAATAGCTGATTTGTTAACCTATTACATTACTTTTGTATGAAATGAAGATTTTTTAAGTAAAATCTTTAGATATTAGTTTGAATATGATAATATATTAGTAAATTAGGAGACAAATCTGTTGGTCAGGGTAGTGATTCAGGATAATCTTTTATAGTGTTTGTTGTACTTTAAATAGTTTTTAATAAAACCATTACATACCAGTTGCATATAAAGATTAGTTTCATGCAAATAGAATATGACAATACAATTTTGTACTATGTTGTATAATAATTTATTCCATGGAATAAATTATTTAGTTTATTCCATGGAATAAATTATTTAGTGAGTAAATTATTTGATTTTTAATATGAATCTTTATTCATATTTTATATCCTTACGAATTTTTTGTGTTTTGCTAGGTACCTGCTAAAGAAGATGATGAATTTTGCAACATTTGGCAGTCCTTACAAGGATCTGGAAAGGTTCAACACTTTCAGCCAGCTATTCAAGAGAAGGTTAGTGCGCCTTGTTTGATGGATGGTTAATTTAAAGAATGTTTTTGTATTTCTCTTTCAAGCATGCAATGACTATTTTTTCCTTAAATATCATAAAAAATAAAATGACAGTTTTGACCATAGATTTACATATTTTTCGGACATATATAAAAATTTTTACCTATGAGTAAGAATATAGATAATTTTTCTCTTAATTCAGTGCTTGGATTTTTTTTTTAACTTGTTTTCAAGATTATAATAACTACATTTTTTAAGGAAACCCTGGTGACATAGTAGTTAAGAGCTTTAAAAGCCTTAATGGCATTCATTGATGGATTTGTTTCCATTTGAGTATATAGTTTTCTGCTGGCAACTGATTGTCTTTAAATATGAATGAGTAAATTCACATTCATTGATAGAGATTAAGAAGAGGAAAGAAATGCTGCTGAACGAGTAGAGACTCAGCCAAAGAGAGGAAGAGGAAAAAGGGATGAATTCCTACTACGTTTTTTGCTAGTTACTGTCCTATCTTCTCAGCTCGGGCTCAAGAAGGAGGGCCTCATTCATTCTAATGTGTGTCAATAGCTGAGCTAAAGAGAGCTGATCTCTTAGGGTCCAGGTGGTCAACTAAGACAACAAGCCGAACAAAAAATAACAATTAAACCTTTACTCACTTCCATAGTATAAGCAAGAGGCCAGAAAGAGGGTGCTGGCTCCCCCAGTTTTCCATTTTTCACCAACAAAAGGCACTGGCAAGGGTCAGATATATTAGTGCAGATGGAGGAGATCCGGGCAGGGGATCATCTCACTGCTGAGAGAGCCCTAAAGAAAGGCTTTTGCCATTTTATGGCCCAGGGGCCAGGGTAGGGCAGGGAGAGGGAGAGAGGAGGTAGGGCTAGGAGTGGACTGAGTAAAAAATGGAGAAAAGGGTCTTCAAAGTCCCCCATAAGGAGGTCTCAACAGAGGTGCCTGGGAAGGGTCTAGGGCCAAGGGCCCCTCGATATAAAGGCCTCTGAATATAAAGGCCTCTGAAAACATTTGGGAAAAGAATGGTGATATATATAAAAGCATGGCTGACCCGGGGAGGGGAAAGGAGGGAGGCACCTGAACACTTGACTGTAACCCCCTCCAGACTGTGCACTAAGTCTGCTATAGGTAGGACAGTTTTCTCTCATGAGGCATGCCAGCCTTTGGAATTGCCTATGGTTGGCCCTAAAAGATCACACATGGGATTTTGGCCTGGAGCCTGACTCCTCAGTACCCTCCAGTAGTATTGGCGTTAAGGAGCCCTGGTGGCAAAGTGGTTAAGCTTTCAGCTGCTAACCAAAATGTCAGTAGTTTGAACCCACTGTGGGAGAAAGATGTGGCAGTCTCCTTCCGTAAAGAATACAGTCTTTGAAACCCTATGGGGCAGTTCTCCTCCGTCCTACAGGGTCATTATGAGTCAGAATCAACTCGGGCAATGGGTTTGGTTTTGGTTTTGGAATGTTGGCATTATCAGAGCTAGAGGGGGAGAATAGCAAAGAGAATGATGGTAAAAACATAAAAAAATAGGAGACCCTGGTGGCGTAGTGATTCAGAGTTCAGCTGCTAACCAAAAGGTCGGCAGTTTGAATCCACCAGGCGCTCCTTGGAAACCATATGGGACAGTTCTGCTCTGTCTTATAGAGTCACTATGAGTCAGAATCAACTCAACAGCCATGGGTTTGGGTTTTTTTTTATGACAAGATACACAGTTCTCCTGTGTTAATATTAAAATCCTTCTTTATATCATCCATAAATTTTTTCTACCTAAATGTAACCCATATCGAGATTTTCAGATCTTCTTTTCCTCTCTAATTTATTTGATACTGCTAGCTACTCATGTGTCAGGAATTCTCAATTATCATTCATTCATTCACTCCTTCTGTACATACTTATTGAGTGCCTACCATGTATTTGCCAGGCATTGTTCTGTGCAGTGAGAACATAGCAGTAAATAAAACAAATATCCTGAGCATCATAATAATTTGTATTCTAGGGAGGACAGGACAATAAACAAGATAAGTAAGTAAATTACATGGTATATTAGAAGATAATACATAAATTTGAGAAAAATTTCAGGGAAGAGGTTGGGAATTGGGGTCGGGTGGTGAGGTGTTGGAATTTTTCATGAAATGAACAGGTGCCATTTGAGCAATGGCTCGAATGAAATGAGGAATAGGGTGTGTGAAGGGAGAGTATTTCAGACAAATTCAGAGGTCCTGTTGAGGGGGCCGTGTGTGGCATTTTCAAGGAAGAGAAGGGAGACTGTTATGGCTAAAGGATTAGAGTGAGCAGTAGGAAATAAGATTAGAGCCATAACACATCAGCATAATGTAGGATCTTCTAGGCCATTATTTAGACATTGCCTTTATTCTGAGTCAGATAGGGAATTAATGGAGGATTTTGAGCAGGGGAGTGACATGATCTGACTTATATTTTAAGAGGAACACTGTGCCTGTGCTCTTGAGAATAGACTTTAGAGGAGCCAGGGTAGAAATAAATTAGTTAGGAAGCTCCAGAAATCATCAGGGTGAGAGTAGATACTGATTGGACCAAGGTAGCTGAAGTTTGTGAGAAGTGGTCAAATTCTAAACATTTCAGGAAGTAATTTGCAGATGAATTGAATATAAGTGTGAAAGAGAGAGGTGTAAAGGATGTGACTTTTAAAGGTCTGAGTAACTGAAAGGATGGAGTGACTATTGACAGAGATGGGGACGATTGCAGGCCAAGTAGGCTTGTGGGTGAAGATCAGAAATTCAATTTTGGATGTATGTATTTGGACAAATAACACATATATGTTATTTAAAGCCAAGGAGGTGGGTATAGATAGAGAAGAGGTCCAATACCTGAGCCTTTGAGCATTCAATCTTTAAAGAGTCAGAAAAATTAGGTGAAACTGACAAAACACTGAGAAGGAACAGCCAGTGAGACAGGAAGAAAATCAGGAGAGAGTGACATTATAGATGCTGAGTGAAAAATGGATGTCAAGGAGAAGAGAGTGATCAACTGTGTCACAGCTATTGTTGGTTCAATTAAGATGAAGACTGAGAGTTGACCATTGGGTTTAGCACATGAAGGTCATTGGAAACCTTGACAAGAGCAGTTTCAGGAGAGTGATGGGAATAAAAGACTTAATTGGAAAGGGTTTAAAAGACAAAAGGAGAAGAGAAATTGGTGGCAACAAGTACTTTCAAGGAGTTTTGCTTTAAAAGGAAACATTACCCTGAGTTTCCTCTTGCCTTGTCCTACTTCTTTATTAACTTCTTTTCCAACCTTTCACTGGAGACTGTTCCTCAGAACTCAACATCAGCTTAGTTTGTTTTTCCCCCTTTTGCCTTATTTCTCGACTGCTGGCTTCAGCTCTGTCACACAATCTGTATCTCTGGTTCCAGCCTCTCAGTCAAGATCTAATTCAGTATCTCCACCATCACCTCAACCTAAAGAGGTCTCAGAATTGACCTCATGTAAAGCCTCTTCTGTTACCCTTATTTCTCTTGATTACACCACCATTTCCCCAGGCATATAATCTAGAAAGCTTGGAGTAAAAATGTTTTGCTTTTTGTTTATAAAACTTTATTGTCAATGAGACCCTAAGTCTTTCTGTTCCTTCTCAGTTCCCAGTAACTGGACCTTAGATTGTCATCTCAGGCTTAGACTAACTTCCCTTCTGCTCTTCCTGTTTCTTACGTCTTTCTCATATAGTCTTTCTTATGTATTATTGCCTAAGTAATCTTTTCTAAAAGCTCTTTCACCTGTGTTGGCCCCATGGTATAATTGGGTAGAGTGTCTAGCTAATGAATAAGAGCTCCTGAGTCTGAACTCAGCTTATGCCCTGAAGTATTGTGGTGTGAAAAATATGATGTTGGACTCAGAATTAGGAAATCAGGTTTTGTAACTCAAACTGAACAAATCTTGTAATTGCCCTGGACCTCTGTTGCCTCATCTGTGAAATTAAGGCATTGGACTTAGATGATGCCTGAGGTCTTTTCCAGCCCTAAAGTAGTGTGTTACTCTAATACTCTAGAATATATAGGACTCCCTGTTTAGTACTACACAAATCCAACCTCAACTCCTCAAACTAATATCTAAGTCCCTCCATAATCTAACCTTGCCTGATTCATACAAAGTATGCCCAACTACTTGGTAAAATAGTCTGTTCCAGTCAGCTTGCTCTCTTTACTTTCCGTTTCCCATAAACAGATCGTTTTCATTTCTGAACATGTACTCTTTTTGTTCCTTTCGCTTCAAATGCGCTTTCCTTTCTCACTGCCAAAACCCCCAATTCTGTCATAGTCTAGGTCAAGTTCTGCTAGTTCGTGGTATTGCCCTGTTTCCTTAAGATAGAATTCAACGACTTGACATTAAGTTTCTCAGAATCTTCTGCATGCATCTTCTGGTATAAATAATCATTCACACCCATGTTTTATTTCCTTTATGTTCTAATAATTATGAGCCACCAAATACAACTCATATCCTAGAATTTTAATAAGCAGCCTGGTTTTCATCTGATGAGCAAATTCTGAAGAACTCACCATAATAAAAAATATTCTAGCCTTTATTGGTATACTATGACAATATGACTAGCACAGATAGCTTTATACAGATATCAAATAGAACACATTTTTTAAAACAACTCAAAGAACTGTACTCAAAACTAGAATATTTTCTTTCTAATTAAACTTATGACACACTATTTCTCTGAAGTGGTACCATCAACATAGATTTTGAAGTTAGACAAATCTGAGCTCAGATGTCATCTCTTTCATTACTTAGCTCTCTGATCAAATTATCACTTTGAGCCTCAGTTTACTCATCTATAAAATGGAATCAAGATATGACATAGCCTTGTTATGATGATGTTAAGATAATGGATGCAAAGTACATCTTACAGTGCCTGGCACATATTAGATGCTCACAGAATAGTTATTTGTACCCATCTTTTGATCTTGACATTCCAATTGCCTTCCTTAGCATCAAAAACCCCCATAATGCACTGCTGTAGTCCAGAACCTCACCAACGATTGTGCTGTGCTGATAGAAACCTTCTTGCCCTTTTGACTTCATTGGACCTCCTTCACACTCATGTATATCACAACGATTTCAGAGCATGCCTGCTACCAGCTAGAATATAATGTGCCTTTATACCCAGTGTTCATTTGTCTGTTTCCAGACGAAAATAAATAGGACCAGCTCAAAGTAAAATTGTGAAATGATTATTTTACATTAAACATCTCCAGCCTCCATTTTTGCTTCTTCTTGACATTTCGACTATCTGGCTTCTTTCTGCCTTCAGGCTTTCTCTCCCTGTCAAAAAACAAAGGAATCTGATGTGATCTTTATATGAAATTTATCTATGCTTTTTTGTTAGTTCTATCTATACTTGCACTGTCTCAAGTACAGTTGCTTTATAATCAGTCTTGCTATCTGGTAGTGTAAATTTTCCATCATTTGAAAACTTTGACAATGTGAATATTTACTAAAAATTAGGAGTTGGGGGATGAGAAATGGAAGTGAATGTAAATGGGCTAATGATATTCTTAAGTTTCATAGCAGAGAGTCAGAAATAATGAATTTTAATAGCTTTTTTATGGAAAACTAAACATAATGAGGTAGAGAGAATACTGTAAATAACCCACAGATAATCATCCCATACCTTACACATGTCCAGTGTTATTTTTTCTATAACCTTCACTTTCCATCCCCGCCTACCTTAGAGGTAGAATTATTTTGAACTAATACAGAAGGATGTTTCTATTGTGAAAAAACATCTGTCTAAAATTGATTATTTTCTCCTATTTTACTTTACTTCTGCATTTGTTAACTCAAAGCGAAATTAAATTTAATACTTCCTATTGAAAATGACATTTGCGTAAAATGGTTTTGTACGTATATTGCTATCTAATAAATGTATAGAGAAATGTCTGGAGTGTTGGTAGTTATGATGGTTCTTTCTGGGTGATGGGATTTGGGGGTTCTTTTAAAAATTCTCTATACTTTTCTGCATTGCTTGACTTTTCTGATGAGCTATTTAATTTTTATAAAAATAACATTAATTTTTTATTAAAATTTGAGGAAAAGAAGTAGTTATAATATTAAGATTTTGTTTAATTTATAAGAATTTCAACTTTTAGGGTGCGGTTCTACCTCAAGAAATAAGTCAAGTAACTCAACTTCATAAATCTGGCATTAATGACAGCAGTATAAAAGGTCAGCAAAGAAAACATGACCCTCACAGAAAATGTAAGTTTTAAATTAGAGAAGTCTATTTGCAGTGCTAACTGCTTGCTTTTTTTTTAATTAATAGCTTTATCAAGATATAATTTACATACCATAAAATTTACCTTTTTAAAGTGTACAATTCAGTGAGTTTTTTTATATTTTCACAAAGTTGTCTAACCAATACCACTAACTCCAGAATATTCTCATCACCCCGAAAAGGCACCCTTTATTTGTTAAAGTCACTCCCCATTTTCTCCTAGCCCGGACTGTTGGCAACCACTAATCTACTTTCTGTCTCTGTGGATTTACCTGTTCTGGACATTTCATATAAATGTAACCATACGATATGGGGCTTTGTGTGACTGGCTCCTTTCACTTGGCATAATGTTTTCAAGGTTCATCGATGTTGTAGCATGTGTCAGTCCTTTATTCCTTTTTATGGCTGAATAATATTCCATTCTGGCTATACAGTCGCCCCTCAGTATCTGCAGGGGATTGGTTCCGGGACCCCCATGGATACCAAAATCTATGGATGCTCAAGTCCCTTACATAAAATGGTATAGTATTTGTATATAACCTACACACATCCTCCCGTATATTTTATCACCTCTAGATTACTTATAATACCTAATACAATGTAAATACTATATAAATAGTTGTTATACTGTATTGTTCAGGGACTAATGGCAAAAAAAAAAAAAACTCCATACATGTTCAGTACAGATGCAACCATCGCAGGCCTAATTATACAGTACACGTCAGCAACAGCGTGACTTTTTTTTTTTGTTTTAATATTTTTAATCTGCGGCTGGTTGAATCTGCGGATGCAGAACCTGCGGATACAAAGGGCTGACTGTACTGCATTTTGTTTACCATTGATGAGTTGATGGACATTTGGGTTGTTTCTACTTTGGAGCTGTTATAAATATTACTATGAATACTCATGTATAAGTTTTTATGTGAACATATGCTTCCGGTTTTCTTGGGTATATACCTAGGAGTAGAATTGTTGGGTCATATGGGAAATCTATGTATAACTTTTTGTGTATCTACCAACTTGTTTTTCAAAGTGGCTGCACCATTTACATTTCTACCACCAATGTATGAGAGTTCCAGATTTTCCGCATCCTCACCAACACTTATTTTCCTTTTTTAAAAAATTATACCCATCCTCTTTTGTTTAGTATATCTTCTTTGGAAAACTATTCAAATCCTTTGCTTATTTTTTAAATTTGGTTGTCTTTTTATTCTTAAGTTGTAAAAGGTCTTTATTATTTCTGGAAACTAGACCCTTATCAGATGTATGATTTTTGTAAATATTTTTTCCCATCCTGTGAGCTGTCTTTTTACTTTCTTTAGAGTCCTTGAAGCTTAAAAGATTTTAATTAAGATGAAATCCAATTTATCTTTTTTTTTTTTTTTGCTTGCCTGTGCTCTAGATTTCATATCTTGAGAAACCATTTCTTAATCTAAAGTCATGAAGATTTACACCTATGTTGTCTTCTAAGAGTTTTATAGTTTTACCTCTGAGTTAATTTTTGTGTATGGTAAGAGGTAGAAGTCTATAGTCATTCTTTTGCATGTGGATATCCAGTTGTCCCAGCACCAATTTTTGAAAAGACTGTTCTTTCCCTATTGAATTGCTTTTGCTCTCTTGTCAAAAATCAGTTGACCACAGATGTAAGGGTTTCTTTCTGAACTCTAAATTCTATTCCACTGATCTATATGTCTGTCATTATGCTAACAACACAGTCTACATTTGTAAGTTTTGAAATGGGGACGTTTGAGTGCTCCAACTTTGTTCACCTTTTTCAACATTATTTAGTCTATTATGGGTCCCTTGCATTTCATATAAATTTTAGGATCAGCTTATCTACTGCAAAAACACCAGCTAGGATTTTGATAGGGATTGCATTGAACTGGTAGATCAATTTGGGGAGTATTGCCACCTAAAACAACTTTAAATTGTTCCAATCTCTGAACACAAAGTGTCTTTTAAAATTTCTGTCAGTGACGTCTTATACTTTTCAGTGTACAAGTCTTACTTTTTTGTTAAATTTCTTCTTAAGTATTTTGTTCTTTTCAATGCTGCTGTTACTGGAACTGTTTCCTTAATTTTATTTTTTTATTTTTCTGTGTTAGTGTAAAGGAATTCCACTAATTTTTGTATGTTGCTCTTGTATACTGCCATCTTGCTCAACTCATTTATTAGCTCTAATAATTTGTGTGTGTGTGTGTGTGGCTTCTGAAAATATAGTTTTACTTCTTCCTATCCTATCTGGGTGCCTTTTATTTCTTTTTCTTGCCTAATTGCCTGGCTAGAACTCTACTACTGTGTTGAATAGAAGTTGACGGAAAGGACATCCTTCTGTTATTCCTGATCTTAGGGGGTAAAGCATCTAGTCTTTCACCATTAAGTATGAAATTGTTGTTGTTAGGTGCTGTCGAGTAGGTTCTGACTCATAGCAACCGTATGTACAACAGAACGAAACACTGCCCAGTCCTGCGCCATCCTCACAATCATTGCTGTTTGAGCCCATTGTTACAGCCACTGTGTCAATTTATCTCGTTGAGGCTCTTCCTCTTTTTCACTGACCCTCTGCTTTACCACCACTCATCTGTCAGTCAGAGTTTGAAATTAGCTGTCAGTTTTTCATAGATGCTCTTTATCAGGTTGAGAAAGTTCCCTTCTATTCCTACTTTACTGAGTGTTTTTATCAAGAAAGAGTATTAGATTTTGTCAAATGCTTTTTCTGTATCTATTGTGATGATCTTTATCCATTATTTAATTATTATGGTGTATTACATTGATTTTTTGGTTATTAAACCAACCTTGCATTCCTGGGATATATCCCACTTTATCATAAGTATAATTGTTTTTATATGCTGCTGGATTCAATTCGCTAGTGTTTTATTGAGAATTTTTACATCTGTATTCACAAGGGATATTGGCCTATAGTTTTGTTTTCTTGAGATGTCTTTGTCTTGTTTTGGTTTAATGACTTATAGAATGAATTGAGAAGTGTTCCGTCCTCTTTAGTGTTTTAGAGAAGTTTGGGAACGATTGGTGTTAATTCTTAAACGTTTGGTAAAATTCACCAGTGAAGCTATCTAGTCTTGGGTTTTTCTTTGTGGGAATTTTTTTTGTGTTTGTTTTTTTTTTAATTAATAATTCAATCTCTTTACTTGTTATAGGCCTATTCAAATTGTCTATTTCTTCTTGAGTCAGTTTCCGTAGCTTGCATCTTTTTAGGAATTTTCCATTTGATCTAGGTTATCTAATTTGTTTGCATACAGTGTTCATAGTATTGCCTTATAATCCTTTTTATTTCTGTAAGACTGGTATTTATATCCCCTCTTTCATTCATGAATCTAGTCATTTTTTAGTCTTTGCTCTTTTTTTCATAATCTACCTAAAGATTTGTCAATTTTTTTGATTGGTTTCATTTATTTTCTCAATTGTTTTTCTATTCTCTATTTTATTTATTTCATTATAGTCATTATTATTTTCTTCCTTATTCTTGCTTTGGATTTAGTGTCTTTAGGTGGAAGGCTAGGTTATTGATTTGAGATCTTTCTTCTATTAATATATGCATTTACAGCTATAAATTTCCTGCTAAGCACTGCTTTAGTTGCATACCATAAGTTTTGACAGGTTGTGTTTTTGTTTTCATTCATCTCAAAGTATTTTCTAATTTTCCTGTGATTTCTTCTTTGACCTATTGGTTATTGAACAGTGTGTTGTTAATTTCCACATATTAGTGAATTCCCTAGTTTCCTCTGTTAACTCATTGCTACTTTCATTCCACTGTGGTTGAAGAATGTACTTTATATAATTTCAGTCTTTTTAAATTTATTGTTTTATGGCCTAACATATGCTGTGTTCTGGAGAATATTCTGTGCATACTTGAGAAGAATGTTTTCTGCTGTTGTCGGGTAGAGTGTTTTATAGATGTCTGTTAGTTCTGTTTGGTTTATAGTGCTGTTTGAGTCTTCCATTTCCTTGTTAATGTTTTGTCTAGATGTTCTATCCATTAATGTAAGTGGGGTATTGAGACCTCTAATTATTGTTGTTGAATTGTCTATTTGTTTAATTCTGTCAGTTTTTATTTGATTTATTTTGGGGCTCTGTTGTTAGGTGCTTATATATTTTTAATTGCTGTAACTTCTTGATGGACTGATTCTTTTATCATCATAAAATGTCCTTTTTTGTCACTAGTAACAATTTTTGTGTTAAAGTCTACTTTGTCTGATACGACTATAGACCTTCCAGCTCTCAGACAATTACTGTTTACATGATATCTTTTTCCACACTTTTACTTTCATCCTATTTGTGTCTTTGAATCTGAAGTATGTCTCTTGCACACAGCATATAGTTGGGTCATTTGTTTTAGTCCATTCTGCTAATATCACCTTTTAATTGAAGTATATAATCCATTTAAATTTAACGTAATTATTGATAAGGTAGTACAGTCATACATCATTTAATGTCCACAATACATTCTGTGAAATAGGACATTATGCAATTTGGCCGTTTTGCGAACACCTATTATATACAGGCAGTCTCTGTACAATCTGTAGTGACGAACCAACCCCCATAAAGCCTATTATATTAAAACCTTATGGGAGCCTGCCAGACAAAGTGCAAGAGCTGTATCCACTGGATATAGGAGGCTGGCCTTGCCGGCTGTGTGACTTTGCGCCGGGTAGGAGATGTGCTGGCAGCCATATAAGGACTTTGCACATATCCAGGTGCAGGACGGGGATGCATGGGGGATGTGGAGAGGTGGTTGCAGGGACTGGGCAGAGAGCAAGTGTGTGGGTGCTGGGAGTGCAGCTGGCGGTGGCAGCCCTGCCTGCTGCCGCCCTGTTGACCCAGCTGCTTCCTAATCATGTGTATCTACCGGCACCCCCACCAGCACCCAGAGCAGGAGTGGAGGAGCCACAGCAGGTACTGCCCTGCACCAAGAGTGAATGGCTGCATGGCTGCTGCGAGGGTGAATGAAGCCAGGAGGAGGGGA